TTATTCAATTCAATTCAATTTCAATGAATTTATTATAAAAATCTTAAATATTTTGAATAATTATTGACTATACAATTCAATGAAACTTTTTGCGTTGTGGAAACCCTTATAGGAAAGAAAATCAGTATACAATGTTTTGTAAAAATTGTGAGACTTACAAAACTTTTTCTAAAAATTCCGAATTTTTATTGTTCAAAATTGTTCCAATTTTGTAGCTTCCTGACAGCTTTTTTTGCAACTAATTTGATTATAGGTTCGATCTCTCTCTCTTCTCTCTCTCTCTCTCTCTCTCTCTCTCTCTCTCTCTCTTATCTTTCTCTCTCTCTCATATCGTTTGTATGAGGTCGAACATATGTTTGGTATATTCAGACACTGCAGATACTTGTTAATAGATGTGAGTGAGATCTAATCTCGAGTGCATAGTTTCTATAAGAAAAGGTACATATTTTATTTAATTTCATTTTTATTAATAAATTGTACAAAAACGCATTTATATAAACAGAATTATAATGTACAAACTACCTAAGCTGATTTAGTATTGACGCCGTATAGCAACTTATCTATTGGTACAAGATGCTTAGCTCCAGTCGGTACCTTATTTATAGCAGGCAATTTTAGTAAAGTACAGAAAATACTGAGACTAAACCATGTTTTTTTTTTTTTTTATATTTTCAGCAATAAATTCTTACAGAATCTACAGCACATGTGTTGCGATATATTGTAATATTCAAATCTATTATACGTCGCCCATCGATCACGTATTTTTCTGTCTTTGTTGCTTTTTAATCGGCGCTTTCCATTTTCTACTTATTTTAAACGCTAATTATACTGCTTTTCTGTTTGTAATTTTTCCTTCCATCTTTTCATTTTTGAGAACACCAAAACTAAAATAGATTTATAGTGGTCAGCATGGTCGCGTTCTGACGTTTCAGGGTTATCTGTCACTATCAATGCTACCAGTTATTGAATCCCCCTCCTTAGATTTTACAGTACAGTAAACAAATGTGATCGGATGTAGAATGTGACGTCATTCTACAGCAAAAAAAATATAAGAAATTCAACGAATTTTACTTCCCGATTGCGGCAAAAATTGTCTTAATTTTTAGCTGATTAGCGGCTGCCATATTGGATCCATCATTGAATTGTATAATCCTGACATCAGATTAGCCAAATTCATCTTCAATTACCTTGAACAATACACTCCCCTCATCATTTTTGTAACAAATTATGTTAAATTAGAAGAAAAAAATGGGGGTCACAAATGACTTATTTTTTAGATTTTTATCTATTTTTTCTTTACTTTGAGAGCAAACGAATATTACCATGTTATTCTACGGCCAAAAACTATAAGAAACAATGCCAATTTTACTTGCCGGCTTAGGGGCAAAAATAGGCTATTTTTTAACATAATCCTTTCTATTATTTATATAATTATAAATGTAATCTATTTTAAACATATATTAACAAAATAATGACGATTTGACAAAAGATACAATCTCAGCATATTTTTTGTATAGAGACACTCCTGAGACGCGTTGCCTGAGTGATCGGCGGCTCGGCCGTCAATCGAAGGCGTCGCTTCTGATATTGGCTCGAAAAGGGCAACTAATTCTGAGCACAGATTTAGATTTCTTGGTATTTGAAATAACCTTTGTAAGCAATTATGAAGTTTATATTTTATGAGGCTTTGGAAATATTGAGGAAGTCTTAAAAACTAATTTTTCCTTTTCATTTCTATAAGGGATGATTGGGGTAAAATGCAAAAATTTACTTTTAGATATTTGTATGAATAACTTTTGTAAGAAGTCTACATCTTATCAGGCTAATTAAGAAGAGAAAGAGAGATATTAAAAAATCAGTAAAAACACATTTTTCTTCTATTCACCCCTTTAGGGGTTGATTGAAACAAAATCCGTTCTTAATGTATCCTTACGCCATGCAAGGTATACATCCCCCAAATTTCAACTTTCTAGGTCCAAAGGTTTGGACTGGACGTTGATGAATGAGTCTGTTTGGAGTTTGACAAGTAAAAGTTATCGCATATCGATCAATCTTATATTTCGGCATTAAAGTTTTCGATTATTGTATTTATATATCACGCCTTTGTATAGCCAATTATTTCAGCGTGACAAATATATTATTTTCGAGTCTCGTATTGTTACGATGCCGCGACCGTGACATTCCTTGTTGTTTTTCGCTGCCGATCAGCTGGCGATCAGCTACCGATCAGCTGATTCGCACTCAAATAAACATACCTTGCTCCCCGTTTTTCACCCTTACGACGGGGAATTCTTGTCTCTCGACACCTCGTCAACGTCAGTCGAGCTGAGCTCTCTGATCAAGCAAGGTTGTCGCGCGAAGGCTATGTATCTCGAATTCAGTTTTTGTCTCCATCTCAATTGTGTGTTTCTCAAATAAACTCTTAAAGGATCAAATCAGTTTGTCATCTCTCTTAAGCAGTGATCTTTCATCTTTCCTCTATCCTATCGTTCGGTTAATTTTGATGTCTCCAGTGAGAACGTGGATTTTCATACAGTTCATGTGCGAATCCCGGGATCTTTGAAAACCTCTAACTATCTCGCGTAAACAGAGTCAGTCAAGACACTTGTTTTTATATATTAAGAAAATAATTTATTTTTAATAATGTTTAAAGTTAAAAGAACTCAAAATGTTATAACAATATAAAATAATCTTTAGTGAATTCATTGAGAGACCGTGTCATAGCTCGTTTGGAATTTGTCCATTTCGCACAGGTCTTTGGGTCGTCTTGTATATTTCTTTTATTTTTCATGAAATAACTTAAAATTTTTTAAACTAATATTTTTGAACAAAAAAATTAACCACAATAAGATAATATAAAGATATGAAGAAAAACATATGAACTTATTTAATTTATAATAACATTTATTACGATTTTGTTCTATCTCAAAAGACCTGCATTTTAATTCTTAATTTTTTCATAAAATGCATACCACACCGAATACATATATTTACATATAAATTACAGGTACACTCGTCAGGTACAAAGTTCTATTTCTTCTATTAATTAACAAAACAATAAACTAATCAGTTAGAAAAGAGTTTGACATAGAATATCTATGACTTTCAGATATTGTCGCAACTAAGTTTTCACTAAGTTTTCTTTTCATTCAACCCTTTCTCGAAGTGCAAATTGGATATAATCACATCAACTGCCCATAGAATTATCTGTGGAAACACACAATGGACTTGTCTAAAGAATTTTATTATTATTGGACGGAAATAGCAGGTGAGTAGTGTCAATGCGTTAATGTCAATGACAAATAAATGTTTCATTGCTTTTGTATTTCTTATAATAATAGAAATATTATTTACGATATACAGTAATTTAAAAATTTACTAATTTAAGCGATTTATTTACTATCATAAAACAAAATAAACAAACAAAACAATTAAATATAACTATAAAAATACATGGGTTATAAAAACTAAACACGGATGTCGATACGTCGATTATAGCAAAAACTAATTTTTCGCTACAACTATATAATTGCGCATCAGGCACGAATTTTTGCTTGATACTATGCCAAGACTTATATAAGAATTGTATCTCAATTCGATATTATTTAAAAATAATTTTAAAAATGTCTTAATGCGGATTTTTTAAAAATAATGCTTGTGATAAAAAATTCTAATTTTTCAGATCCACGAACAAAAAATTGGACCTTAGTAAATTACGAAATTCCACTTATATCAATTATATATTTATATGTCGTTTTATATTGGGGTCCTCGATTCATGAAGAACAAGCCGCCTTATTCTCTAAAAACATTCATAATAATTTACAATATTTGCCAAATTATAGCTAATATTTGGGTTATACGAGAACATTTAGCCGCCGGATGGATGAAAGATATACCGTTAACTTGTCTGCCAATTACTTATTCCTACGAACCACGTTATTATAAGGTACAAATAATTTTATACATCTTTAAAAGTACGTTATATTAAAATTACTTGATATACAAAGAACCGTACCATTCAATGTCTTTTTGGAGCTAAAATGGTGTCGGATAATGTAAAGAATACATTTTATGTAAGTTATTTCTGCAATTTTTTGTGATTTACGAGTTTATCTTCCTTTATTCATAAAAATTATATTATAAAATACATTCAAACGAGTATAATAAGTCCGAAATTGCAGTATAGCGTGGAGCAAAAATAGTGGAATTACGTTACAAATGGTACTTTGTAAATTTAGTGATTTTACGTTATATAAGTGTTTTTATTACCGATTGTATTCTTAATTATCGCCAGTCAAAATTAAAGAAATAAATATTTCTTGATCAATACTGGCAATTTTTTATTTAATAAATCTTACGTTTTGATCATAATTTTAGTCCTTTTCAAATATATTGAAGTAATGTATTATAATAGTGTATATAAAAAATAATGTATTATAATAGTATTATAATAATATATACATCAAAAATACAAAAATCAAAAAACAAACAAGATTGTTTATTAGAATATTAAAAAAGAGAAAAAAGAAGACCACCGTTGTGTTTATATGACACTTCGTCACTTGTTTATATTAAACTGACAATGAGTACAGAACTAAACAAATATTATTTTCGAAAGGGTCTGAATAGCTTAGTTGGTAAGAGCAGTCGCCCGGAAAGTGAAAGACGCGGGTTCGATTCCCGCTTCAGCGACTTTTCGGACCTATATTTTTCTCGCTTATTTCTCCATATGTAAGTTTCGAAATTAATTTATATGTGGAACTTTGGGATCTCAAATTGAGATACAGTTCCGTTTAATTAATTTTTCGTTTCGTTTCCTTGGCTCTATTGCCCGGCTTAGAAGGCAGCATACTTATATTCTTTATATTGAGAGCCGATAAAAATATTTATTTCTGAGAAATATTATTTTGTCATAAATGTTATTTAAATTATCTGTCCTTTTGTAGGTTGATCGTATTGTTAAATTTTTAAACAAAAAACATTTCGGCAATTTCTCTCTTTCTTTCATGTTTCTCATTATGTAATATAGTAGGTGTTGCTCAGTCAAATTCATGTCTAAATTCTAATATATGTTTGCTAATAACCAAATAATTGGTTGCGTGCATTTTTGTGTTATTAAAATGTTCTGTGACACAAGTATCTAAATACCGTTTTGTTTGGCCGATATATGAAACCGTATGTAACAGCCTCTTTTGTGAGGGCTCGGACGGCCTAGCCGGGATCAGGACTCGACAGAACACCGCGGTTTAATATTGAAATAAATGGAATTTATTCAAAATACTAACACATAAAGAAATATAAAATAATAAAATAAAATATAATACAAAAAAATATAATTAAAATGCGAGTAATATAAACTACAACACAAAAGGATATAATTAGAACGTTAGTATAACAACATATAATACAATAGTATATTGTGTTACAAGTGCGGAAAGTTGGCTATTGGTCACGAGTGCGGGTAGGCGCACGAGCCGACGGTGAGTGCGCATTTATCCGCACGAGTGGACAATAGCCAACTTCCGTACGTGCAACACATACTATTTTGTATTACAAGTGCATTCAAAATGGCACTTTGAGTACCTAATTTTTGTATCTGATTTACGCAGTAGACTGATATATGAATAGCAGGATTAGATGGGTGTTGGGAAGGCGCAAAGTGGCGGTAGTTCGCTAGTTGTTTTTTGTATGTGCTGCGAGATAGCGCTGAAACCCGTGAGCAATAAATTGTCCACGGCTTGGAAAGCTACCCAGATAGCCAATTGATATCAGAAAGAATTCTTAAAGTTTTCTTCAAGATTTGGACATCCAAAAATTAATTTCGAAAGCCAACATAATGAGATCAGAAAGAGCTCTTATGCGTCGTATTTAGAGAAAAAAAAGATTTCTTCTGACAGTCACCGAAAAGATTACTTTTTTGAGATATCTTATAAAAGAAATCAAAAAGATTACTTTTTTGAGATATCTTGTAATAGAAATCAAAAAGATTACTTTTTTGAGATATCTTGTAATAGAAATCAAAAAGATTACTTTTTTGAGATATCTCGTAATAGAAATCAAAAAGATATATTAAATTAGATCTTTTTAGAAGTTTATGTTAATGATGCCAATAAAACTTATTCTAAAACATTCGAGACACAAAAAAAATGCCTTTGGTAAAATATTTAGCAAGATCTTCAAAAGGGGTTTTTTGATGAAAGACAAGAGACAATTAATTTTCCTTCATATTATATTCATCCTTTATTCACATATATTTCTCTTCCGAGAGTTTATTTGCTAAATATTTTACCAGGGATTTTGAATATGTTGAGAGTAAATATTGAAGCTTAAAGGAAAATTCTTATTTATATGAGAAATCTTTACAAACAAAAATATACGATAATATTATATATATGCCCATTTAGGGGTTACTATATATATACATATACATACATACATATATATATATATATATATGTGTGTGTGTGTATGTGTATTTTGAATACTAAAACACAAATATAAACTTTTTTAAACATTATATTTATATTAATATATAAAATATAATGTAATATATTTTTATAATATAAAATGCTTTTTATGATTTTTAATTAACTATAATAATTAAATTTATTGAACTTTAAATTATTTGATTAAATAAAAAAAATATTAATCTATAATAAAATAAACATTTTTAGATTAGTATATATAGATTAATATATAGATTAATATATATTAAATTAAAATCGTAAATATAATAAAACTTTAATAGAAATAAAAATGTGAAGAAGAAAAATAAACTATTATAAAAAAAATAATAATATTAAAATAAAATATGAAATAGAAAAAATAATATAAATTTTTTGCCAAAATTTTAAAATTATATTTGAGCGTGTTTTTTTTATATAACGAACTCAATCACTTGCATGTTGTAGCCATTTTTGAATTGTATCTTGTACGTCAAAGATTGTACAATTACGCCCGGAATTGATCATAGTCTCTGAAACCAAAAATTATATAGTTAGGAAATAAATATACAATTAAAATATATTCATACTAACACTTCATGATTGGCAATTTTTGTGAGATCCATCAAGAAATTTGTTATTGTAATTCATGAATAAAGAATATTATTATATATGTATATTGTCGAATATAAGCTTGTGTAATAATTTTAGTTTTAAAATAAACTACATAAATACTTTTTAACAAATGGCAAAATTTGTAAAAATAAAAAAATTACAATAAAAACAGGAAATAAATTTTTACGTAAAATTTAATGATAACGTTTATTAATATTACTACTCTATGTTAAACAACTGTGGTTATTTTAGACATTATCACATCTACTACTAATTTTATTGTTATTAATGTATACTGATTTTATTTTTATTATTTTTATTACCTTTATTTTATTATTTTTATTACTTTAATTAACATTATTTTATTATTTAATAAATAAAATAATAATAATATAATATAAATAAAATAATAATAATATAATTATTATTTAATTAATTAAATAATAATAATAATAATATAATAAATAAAATAATAATAAATAATTATAAATAATAATATAATAATATAATTTAAGAAAAATATAAAAGTGTATATGTCCACAAACTTCATATCTTTTACTTTAATAGTTTTTTTCTGTCCTGTCCTTGATAATTTACATGACAATTCATTATTTAATATTAATGTCAAAGCTTGTCGAAGATGTTTTTTAACATTTTTACCACCAATATTTTTAATTATTTTTTTCTGAAAAATAATACAATAAATGTTTATATTATTATATAATAGAAAACAGTAAAATTATAGACCTTAAATCAAAATGGTTAGTAAATTGTAGTAAAACAGCTTTTATGTCTATTTAAAAAAAATAACAATTAACAAATTATAGATATACTTCTTATACAGATAAATAAATAAATAGTAAGATAGATATATAGATTAGATAATCAACGTAATTAGAAATTATACATAATTATGAGCATTGTTATTATATTGTAAAATTAAAACAAATTTTAAAAAAATTTAGAAACGATAATACATAAAATACTTACATATTGTACACGAGCTATTGCATCTTTCCTTAACAATTTATTAAAATTTTCTAATTCTTGAACTGTAACAACCGGAAATTGTGGTAATATATATATATATACAGGGTGATTCAAAACAACCGTTTGTCCTTAAAATGTCGTATTCCTGACTCAATTCTAAGACGATT